AGATGTGCCTTCATGGCACAATCTAAGCATACTACAGTGGAACATCTATGGCTTCAATACAAGAAATGCCTTTCTCCATGCAATAGTGCAATCAAGGAACATGATAATGTCATTCTCCAAGAGATATTAACAGAGGGGCCTATTTGCTTCTCCGAGTATCATGTCTTCATGCTGCCAAGCACATCTGGCAAAAGAGGCTTGGCCACCCTGGTCAGAGCAACAATCCCCTGCTCTGCAATAGTCGATGCACTTCACTGTGGAGACGACGTTGAATCTCTTGCTGTTGAGATTCATCTAGCTGGGGCCCCCCTCAAGCTGTACAATGCGTACAGCGAGCCATTCTTTAGGAGCGTAGATATCTGCCAGGTCTGTGCTACTGCAGCCCAAGACCGAGTGATCATAGGGAAAGATTTAGGAAGGTCAACCACAAAGTGAACATGTGCAGACAACAATTCCGAAGGCAAATAACCCATGATAAACTAGTCTTCTTAAGGGAAGCTATCAGGTATGCCAAAGAATCCGGCAAGTGGGAAAAGTAGCTGCAATGGTGTGATTCCTTTGACCACCAAACCACCTTAACAGAGCTATAGCATCTGAGCCCCGAGGTGCACACATCACGACCCTCAATCAGAGGCAAACAGACTTTTGCATAAGTTCTCTGCGAGGACAAGAAGCAACAGTCTACTAACCAAACTGAGGGCAAACCAAGAACGCCTACAACCAGGAAGACTTGCTCATATCAGAGAAAAACTCAATAACTCAGATGTTATGTTTTCCCTGAGAGAAATAAGAAAAATTACAAAAACAATTCTTGCTCAGCCGGGTTCTGATGGGATCTTGTACCCCATCATTTCCTATCTAGGACTAGCAGGTGAGCTTGCACTTCTGCAGCTCATCAACAAGTCCTGGGAAACTCCCATTCTACTCCAGAGCTGGAAGAGGGCTACCATTGTTCCCATCCGAAACCAAAGGAGCCAGGGAAGTACCGCCCCATCTCTCTCCTCAGGTGATGGTACTAAACCGACTCCAGTGGAAAATGGGACCCCCACATGAACACCTCCATGAATTCACAAGGGGCATGAGCACAACACACAGCATAGCCATGCTCTTAAACGCAATTAGCACTGGCACCTAGACCTGGAGAAGGCTTTTGAATTAGCAAAAGACTCATGAATTGATCTAATGGCAGCACAATTCCTTTCAAAGGTAATCTAGGGACCCAGGAACACAAGCATGAAACGCCTAGAACAAGACCACAAACTCTTTGCAAATAACTCCTGGCTGTCAAACACGGCCAGGGTGATGATATGCTATCAGCTCAAAGAACAACTGCTTGCTAAGGGCATGGACAGAGGCAGTTGCGATCAATGGAGTTCTAAA